CTAAAAATCTCATTGTGAGATTTTTTTTAAGTTCTTCAGGCTGCTCTTTCTCTGTTTGACTACTGAGGAAATATAGAGGAAAAAAACCCTGCATCTGCTTAGTCTCAGAAGCAACCAACCTTGTCCAAAGAGCTGCAAACATGCAAATCTAACGAGCTGTTTCCTTCAACGTTTTACAGAAACGCCACCACGTCCTGCAGACTGCTCACCCTTCACCTTTCTCTGTGCAAAGAGGCTTTTTTGGCTGCCGGCATTTCTCTAAAACAAACGAATTGCTGAAGAAATCAGGCAAGAAGCCCATTGACTGGAGAGCGCTCTAAGCTGCAAGCGTAAGCTTGAGGGTTTTATCAGAAGTAGCCCCCTGTTTCAAGGGTTGCCTTATTTCTGAAACACGCTTGCTGACCTGAGAATAATTCTTGGGATGTTGGTCGAGACAATGAACAGAAGACTTAATTTCAGAGATATTTTTTTTCTTTTTACTGTTTATGTATACAAATGTACCAGATGTTTTAAGAGCAAGTTAGAACGTTACATGAACTACTTGGTTACTCCTTCTTGAACAGATCTCAGCTTAGCGTGAAGCCAAGAAAGGAAAACACAACTCCACATTAATTTGCACTCGCTGTTGCAATGGGAATATCCGTGAGTGCTTTTGGGGCTGTTTGTGACTTCCCATAGTTAAGCTATATGATTTCTGTAAATACCCTAATTTGCCTCCCACTCTTTCACTTCAGAATGTGCAAAGCTGGATTTTGTATTTGGTAGTGGGGAACTGGAGGCCCTATGACTTGTACAGGAGGGAAAGCTGACTTTTGTATTTGTTTTAGTCCTTTTTATTTACTACAGATACAGATTTGATTAGCAATATACTGCCCTTCTGTGCCTTTAGAGACTATACAGTGAAGAAGCTTCACTGAGTGCACCTCTGCGCTCTCTAAAGGTCAGGATTGATCCTGCAGTAGCTGGGGGGGAAATAGTGACCAGCACTTTGGTCCTGTTCGGAGCTTTTTGTTCCCAAAGGAAACCCCAGAACATAAACTGCCTTGGGGTAGATGTTAATCACCTGGCTGACAATAATCGGTAGCTCCGAGGTGATCCTGTCCACAATGTGAGTCTGGATCACTGCTTGTTCCACGGAACCAGAACACGCAGGACAGGGGAACTGGTTTCACACAGCTGAACTCGTGGTGCTGCAGGTGGGTTTCCCTGCAGCTTTGCTCTCTTCGATACCTGCTGATTTTGAGGGAGAGGTTTTGTTGAAGATCTAGTGCATGGGTGGAATATTTCATTTCGTTTTATGACCTTGTGGATAGTGAAGATGCAGAATGGCAGCTAAGAAAAGCCTCTGCGTAAATACAGAGGCGCTTTTGGGCTTTGCCCATGTGAGCAAAATGAGGCTTTTAGCCTCATTTGTTGAAAATAAGTTGCACTTCTAGAATGAAAATGAGATCTGCCTTCTAATCTTGCATTTCCAGCCCATCTTTGATATGATGCTTTCTTTCAGTGAAAGTGAAATGGTTTGTTTTTTGAAGTTACCTAAGTTTTTAGGGTAGATCGATACATCCCAACACCCGCGTAGGCCGTGTTTTGTATTTGTTCCACTAGGTAACACTAGTACAAGTGAAGCTGTACACTTTCTTTGGACGTGTTGGAGGTTATTTTTCCCAAACGGATTGTTTTTAAATAAAACTTACTTTGTTTATGTTGTGCTGTGACCTGACTTGACTTGTGGAAGGGCAGAGGCTGGCGGGGAGGTTGGATCACTGCCCTCGTGTGGGTCTGGCCCCCTGCGTGGGGCTGCAGGGCCCTGGGGAGGTGCAAATTGCTGCTCCTTGCTGTCCCCATCGTTACTGGTAATTGCAAGCACCTTCCTCTGGGATAGCAGCTTCTGGGATAAGTCTTGAGTGCAGCAGGGAGCCTCTTTGCATAGTCCAAACTGGACATTTCTCGAAGCGATGCACAGAAAGCAACAGGTAGGAAAATAACGGATAAAGAATTATTTTTGATGGAAAACTAACTGATCCCTGCTCTGAGTATCTGCAGTGCGAGCTGACGGGCGCACGGTGCCCTGGGCGCTTGCAGGACGTGGCCCAGGCTGGTGCCAGCGGCTGGTGCTGTGCTGGCCTGACCTTGTCCCACATGGGCCGGGTGCTCCCGTGGTGCCGTTACCCCTTGCTCTGCTTGGGCCCTTGCCCTCTGCCCGGATGTTTTTCAACCTTGTCTCTGACAAATGTTTTTTTTTCTCCTCTGAGCAAACAAACGCAGAGCTATTTTTTCCTTAGACGCTAATGTTACATGCAAGAAAGCAAACGTAACGCCACGAAACCGTCCGAAACGTGACACCCTGCAGTGCCAACGGGTGTCACTGACTGTCACCCACCCCGCGGGCCCCGGCAGGGCTGGGACCTCCGCGCGGGGCCGCTGCGGGTGCAGGGCAGGAGCCGCCTCTGTGCCCGGGTTTTTTTGGAGCGCTGCAGGGCTGGATGCCCCGCCGCGTTTTGGGTGCCTCGTAGCTGGTACCTGGCTGCATCCCCCTCCTTCCAGAGCTCGTTTGCTCCCCTTGGTTGTGCAACAGTTAAGTGCAAACGCGAAGTTCTCCTGCAGCAGAGCCGAGTTAATCTGAAGTTTGCGTTTGCCCCGGGAGCCGCTGCCAAATCCTGCCCCTCGGCAGAGCAGGACGGGAGCCGCGCGCGGCGGGATGGTAAGTGGTGCCGGAGCGCGGGGAGAGCCGCTGCCCACGAGGAACTCGGAGCGTGGGATGTAATAAGGAATAGCCAGAAAGTGGGGCCAGCTGAGGGGCCAGAGAGCTGCAAGGAGCAAGCGAGTGGGGCAGAATGTGCCTGCCTTTAAGCAGGTAACATGAAGGTTTTTTGTTAATGTCTTGTTACTGTCCTTGTGCAAGTGCTGAATGATTCCAGTGCTCCTCGGGCTTCCTTAAAGCCCAGCTTTTGACTACAGAGACTGCCTGCAAATTAATAAGTTGATGTTCCAAATTCATACCCTATACGTTGTGTTATTTCAATGCTCTTTGGCTGCTGTACTTAATGCTGCTTTGGCTTCACAGTGGGATTTCATTTCTGTCTCTAAATCTTCAGGGCGTGCAAATGCTTCTATGTGCAGTTAGGTGTAAAGTGGGAGAATTCCTCCTAATTTCACGCTTAGGCAACGCACTGCACTTCCAAGAAGAAGCCGGGGTGGCAGCCTCCAAGGCAGGAGGGTTTTTAGATGTTTGTTTGCAGACATGGCAAATAAGCCAAAAAAGGCTCTCCTGTGGAAACATTTATTCCAGAAATGCTGCTTTTAGAGAGGTTTCGCCTCTCCAGAGAAGCTGCCTCCAAGCAGCCTCTTGCTACCACCGTTGTGGGATATTCCCTTATGAGCTCCCGGGACGAGGACAGGAAGGTGGAGGCTGCGTCGCTCCTCTCTGCCAACCTCCAGGAGCTGCGAGGTTGATTCCTCCACACAAAGAGCGTTATTTTCCCTGCTCTGTGCCCCTGTGATAGGGGATGTCTCGTGGCGGAGGGAGGTTCTGTCTCTGCAGTGGCTCCGGATAGAAAGGGTCGTGGGTGCTGGGACACCCCAGCTGTGGTGCAGTGGCCTCACTGGGACCACCGAGATGCCACCAGGGTGGTGAAATTGCCCAAAAAATCTTTCAGCAGCCCCAAAATGCAGGGTAGAAAAGCACCCTGCGACAAGCAGATGGGGCAGAGGAAGCGAGAAGGGGACAGGAGGGTGGCAGGGAAGGGGCCGGTTTCCTTCCCCTTCTGCAGTCGCTCGAGTTAATTCTATGTGGAGCCGAGTGCCCCTTTTCTGCCTCTCTCCGGGGATGGAGCCGGGTTATCCGAGCACCCCCCGGAGCTGCCTCCGGATGGGAGCCGTGGCGGAGCGGCGCTGGCAGGGACGCCCGGCCCCGCGGCTCGCGACTGCCAAACTTCTGTTTTTGGAAGTAAAAATAGCCCCGGCGGAGCGTGTTGTTCAGCTTAACTGCAACCGGCCGAGCGGCGGACGGAGACGAGAGGGTTTTTGTGGGATTTTATGGGGCCACGTAGGTCACCGTCCTCTCACGGGTGTCCAGGAACTCGAGGGGGGGATCCCCAGGGACGCCCGGCCCCGCGGCTCGCGACTGCCAAACTTCTGTTTTTGGAAGTAAAAATAGCCCCGGCGGAGCGTGTTGTTCAGCTTAACTGCAACCGGCCGAGCGGCGGACGGAGACGAGAGGGTTTTTGTGGGATTTTATGGGGCCACGTAGGTCACCGTCCTCTCACGGGTGTCCAGGAACTCGAGGGGGGGATCCCACTATGGCCCTGCCATGGCGGCAGGGGCAATCCGTGGTGATCCCTGTGGGATCCGAGCAGGAAGGAGCCACCGCTACGAAGCAGAGCGTGGAGTAAGGCAATAAATCGACCTTGCTAAGTGTGGATGTGTCCCTCACAGGCTGCCTGAATGCTGCCGGTGACCCTGCTCCTCCTGAAGCCCATCCGCTCCCTCTGGACCAGGATGGCCAGCGAGGAGAAGGCCGAGGCGGCGCGTGAGGAGAAGCCCGACCAGCCGGGCCCGGTGCTGCCCGCCGAGAGCCGGGAGCAGCCGGC